AATTCTGAGCCATATGGTATGAAATTACAAGTCACTAAGAGACAAAGGACGTTTTCTCCCTAGATTGCGTGGAAACGGAAGTTTTAAACAAGATAAGTACTTAGTGAAACAAAGACATGAGCTTATCATATGCAGTCACTTGTCAATGAGTATATACAACGCTTGTGACTATTTTTAAAAGGTCATCACGCTTTATTAGATCCCAATCAAAACAAAGGTGATAAAAGTCACGCAGCCTTTAGGCTCCTCACGCCAACGTTGTGCGCCCACTGGAAGATGGCCGCTCTTTGCTTTTGATTATGGTTTGCAGCTTGTAACTGTTTCAGTAATTCAATTTAAGCCAGAATTCACCCAGTAAACCCCTTGCTGTTTTTCACAGGAGGAAATCTATTTTATATCCAGATGAAAATCTATTGGTTTTAGTCAGGGGAGTGATTGCATATCATCTTCTTTGGAGTTGTAGCACTAAGCCATCACCCAGTTCTGCGGTTATAGAGTGGCTTCGACACCCTCTGTACTTTGTTCCACACCCCTTTCTTGGAAAAACAATTTCGCAACGCTGCCATCTCGACGTGGGCGTAAAACAACAAAAGGTTTTCCCTGAGCCTGTGCCCGCTGTAAAACCTAGTAAGAGATTTTCAAGTGGTTTGTGTCAACAGAAAATGATAAATAAAATTTGGGATAAAATAGAGCAGTGATGAAATAGTAAGTTCTTATGTGGGTTAAATGTGAAAACGTGATGTTTTTCCCTCTGTTTCATCAATGCTTTTCGCTCACGTACACGTGTTTTTCGATTTTTTTTTTAATCACATCTGGACCGAACGCTAGTAAACACATACTGACTGACTGACTGACTGGCTTACTGATCTAAATTTACTTTTCTGGTGACTGACTGAATACGAGGTAACTGCCCCAACTATCCATGACCGGCGACTGACTAGGTGGCATGATTCAGTAACTACCCCGCCGGTATGGGCTGGCTGGCCGTCCTGACGAACCTCACTAACGTCACTAACTGACTGGCTGAGTGCCTGACTTACTCACTGATTGTCCTTTTTTGTTTGCTAAATAAGTGAGTAAGGAATTGATTGTTTGAGCGATTGAATGTCGGCTGACTTGCTCTTTCACTGGTTTATTGGTTTGATTATTGGCCCAAGAGAGATTAAGAGAGGATACACTCTCTTGGTTGCTTCTATATGGTTCATGAACGAGTCCTGGGGTCCTCCTTGGTTCAATGCCAAACAACTGATATCATTTTTAGCTCAGAGCTATCTAAGACGATTGATATCGCATCTTATCTGACTAACTTTGTTGTATCATTTGTTGACTTAAATCCCTCTACTCATTTGTGTCTATTCGTAAATTGACTTGGTTATTACAGTGTTACTGGCCGGCTGGCAAGTAAGATGACTGATTGCGCGGAATAATGGGTGACAATGATAAGTAAATTCTGATTAGAACTTTACTCAGTTAAAACTCGCTGCTTTAATAATTACCGGAGATAACTCTAGCAACAATATCATTTTTTGCATCTTATCAAGCAAGATCAATTATTATTCCTTTATCGCAACTTCGTTGACAAATATGAAAATCGATTTACTCGAGTGTCGTTCAAATAATGAAACCTGACTTCGGTGATCTACCACCAAACGCTTTAGCTTTAGCACATAGAACGTTATAGACTTACTGCAAGTTCGAAGTTCATTAGTCAGCCATATATGCCTAGGCCGGGCTTTTTAAGAAATACATAATAATGTTTATCATTGCTCTGCCTCGTCGTAAATTGAGCCATTTGAAAGGAAAGCGTGGGTGACCATGAGGCGGAACAAAAGCAGCGCCCGGAAACACAGAGAACAGATCTTCTGGATAGTGGTTGAAAAAGGCCGGCCCCTAAGGTTCAGTTCTGTGGTTCACATTTTTGTCGTGACAATGGAAATAACAAAACAGGCCGGTTTAGGCTTTTCTGGTATTTTGTGTTAAGGAAGTTGAAGAATTTCAGTAGTACGAGGCAACACTTGTAACACAAATTTCGTAGATACAGGACTTGATATCGATTACTTAAACCTGACCAATCAATAATCCTCTCTTGTCTGATTTAAACAGATGATGCTGTGTTCCTGCATTAAACTGACAGTGTATGTGAGTTTCTAAGTCACTGGCCCCTCGACTTTTGTCAATTGTTTCAAGTGTTGAGCCACAAATTTCTTTATCCTCACAGGTTGAGAATAGCATTTTTCCTACATTAAAGAACAGAATTTTGTGACACTAAATTACGATCTTCTCGACTAAACTGTGCATTTCGGTCCTCATATTTCGGCTAACTAATTGCCACTAAAATTCGCTGTTCACTGAATCCTTAATCCGGGGAATCGCCAAAAACAGTGGAGGTTTAGACGGCCATTGGCCAAACGAATACATGGACACGTGACCTCTTCGAAATTAACCTCCGAAAACAAAGGCGATAGTATGTAAGTTTGAGGCAACTAATGCACTCCAGTTTCTCTAAGAAATTAAGACTTAAAGCTTAGTTAATCTAATTAGCATTTTTTTAGCTTCTCCGCTCTCCCAGGTTCCAATGGTGACAATTTAAGACAACAGTTTTAGTTTTTACTGGAAAACTAAGACATGCAGTGCAAATAGTTTTTGGTGAAAAAGAAGAACTCGTGGAAAGACCATGGAATTTCAACTACACACTCTATGGGTTTAGAACTATTAACATTTTTCCAAAAGAGCATTTCGGATTTGAAGCAGCTGTAGCCACTCGCTCAAGTCTTAACTATTATAATCGAAATGAAAACAATGGAAAAGCTTATCAATCAAGATGGGCACAGACAGGATTATAATATGAAGTACGATAGTAACGGGGAAAGGGAAAAATACACGTTGGAGGCTCTCAGGAGCTCTCATGAACAGGCAGTAGCCGATTACCCCGAAGCTGGTTTTTCATCCATGAAATAAAGCTGCTACCTTTACGCTTATAATATTAAGTGATATAAAGGAGTTGCGTTAGTTCTTGAAGTTTATTCTTCGCTAGATCGGTTGAGATCTGTGGTGGGGACATAAAGGATACTCAAAGCATACAAGATTAGTCTCGTGAAGCCTGTCAAGTCGACAGTTAATCTTAGTGCCACCAACAAAGGGACATGGATTTTACCCTTTTTCTCAGCAGGAAATGAAATTGTTTTTGCAAGATTGATCAAAATAAGCATCATATTAAAACATTAACTTAAAGTTGTAAACAGTACAATATTAAAAGAACTTGTAGGGAAGCGGGACAGCTTAAAAAGCGCCTTTCCGAAGGCACGCACAAGTTGAACTCCACAAACGATTCGGCGACCTGAGATGATGAAATGATTTTACGATTCGCTTCTCGTGATGCAGGAGATCTCTATTGAGATTATTTGATAAAAACCACGAAAGAGGCTGAATTTTGTTCGCCGCGCCAGATTAGTCGGAATAATCGACCTGAGTATTCAAGTGACTCTTTGTTCTTCTTTGATATGAGAACTCATCGAAGCTGACCGAAGCGATCGATATATTTCGAGCAATGAACATAAATTATTCAGGATAAATTAAAATTTCGCCAATTTTTGTCGCGAGCTTCTTGCAATGACAATTTTAATGATCTTTAATAGAGCTGGTTCAGTCAACGAGTTTCGTTTTTCACGATAAACACGATATATAATTGTTATGGTCTTGAGTCGCATTTTGCACGCGTGACGTAGCGGATCGTTAACTTGGTTGCATCCACCACTGACAAGGCATAAGTCAGTTTACGCAAAAAAAAAAAACAAAAAAAACACTTGAAGTCTGTTTACGAACATGAAAGTAGTCAAAGCACTGTAGAAGAAGTCAAAGGAACAAACAGACGACAAAAATCGAATAGTTTATTAATAAAAATGGAGTATGTTTCTCTTATGATAAAAATAACTCATAGTTAATGTTCCGTAGAAAGCTAGCGGGGCGTATTTGTATGCGTCGATGATTTTTCTAATAACCCATTTTTATTTAGTCACGATATAATACTGCCTCAAGGAATGAAAGCCTCGCAACATCCCAGAAAAGATTCAAAGAAGAGTTTATTGTAATTTCCTTATATATACTGTTCGTGTGTTATGCAAACGGAAGCTAAGGAGTCATTAATATTTCAGCGTCTAAAAGGCTAAGAATAATTATATGGCCTTATACAAAAAAAAAATGGAAAACACAGTTGTCGCTTTTTAATTATAGCGCCTCGCCAAAGCACGCGATCTCAGATACAACAAAAGGGGCTTGGCCTAAAAAAAGTAGCATTAAACTCTAATGCGTGGGCTCAAAATTGTGTGTCTTCACGTTCTATGCAATGAGATTTGGCGGCTTTGATTGCTTTCTCTTTAATTGCATCCGTTTACCGTGTTCACGCAATATCGACAGCAAGCCTTTCATGTGATCGAGTTTATTAAAATTTGGATGGTTAATTCACAACACTTTATACTTTTTTTATTTATAACCTAAGTAATCTCGGCAAACTATTGCAAATAAATTTTTTCGACTAAGAAACCTGCTCGTAAGAATTCAGGTACAATAGTCGAACTTTTGAAAATTAATAGTCGTTTTGTCTAATGGTGTTACTTTATGTAGCTTAAGATATCGAATATAGTTATTGTTCCTTTCTTTCTTTCAACTTGTTGATTTATAGCGAGCTGTTTTCACAAATAATTTTTTTTTACAGAAGCAAAATTTGGAAAGCTTACCCTGTCTAGTGTAACGCATATCTCCCTCCACCGACGTGATTTAAAACTGTTGGCAGTATTTTGGGAACGAATTGATTTTACCTTTTCTTTTCTTCTTCAAGCAGATAAAAAACAGTTTCATTGTATGTATTATTTTCTGCGTATATTTACTGATTCTCTTTTCATGTTTCAAGCAGATTGACCCGTCCTTCGTGACAATGTTGCGCAACGTACCTACTTCCGAGATGTGAACGTGAGACTCGCGAACATTCGATATTGAGGTCGAAGGCCGAAGATAGAACGAGTACCTATTTCGGGAACCAATTGCAAGCAGCGATGATGAACCGAACTTTCTCGGCCTTCCAGAATCGTCGGCGTGACAAAACCGTCGTTGGAGTGCGACAGTTAATAATTCGAGGCTCTTCTTTTCTATCTATGGATTATCGTCCTACTCAGATTTAACAGCATTGTATTATTGACATAGGATTGATAGTTGTCGTCAACAAAAAGAAACTAAAAGGTAAAGTCGCATTTGCAACAGCTCAGTTCGGTAAGATACGCGCGGCCGATAACTAAGCACTGACACTTCGTTACCACCTTTACTAAGCGTGACTTGCTCGTTTAGCCTGGGGATGAATAATCGATGCATAACGAACTTAGCATAAGAAACCTGTCGTAAAAATTGCATGCGGATTACAGAAACGGTGCCTGAGTCTTCAGTTTACAAGGATCCACGCAAAACCACGCAAAACTCTGCGGCTCCATCAGGAAGAATTATCTTCTTTATTTTTACTACGAAACGCTTCCTGATTGTAAAGGCTTAGTCCAAAAACATTTAGTCAGGTTGGGCCGCCTCTCAAGGAATTTATCCAAATGCTTATGGCTTGTAAGAGATACGACGACTTGCTCAGGACGCAAGAAAGTGTAATGTACCAGAACAATACTTACCAAGGGGAAGGGAACCCGCTAACGGCCGGCATCTACTCGCTTCTCATACCTAACAGCGAGGAAGAAATACAGCAGGTGAGTTATTTTCAATTATTTCAAACGTTCTTGACAATTCTCTGTTGCAAAAGTCATGCAGTCGAGTCACAAGACACTGGCTTTGAAAAGGAACAAGTTAAAATGCAAGACGTTATACCAAAGAGTAACTATATATTGATAGCGTGAATCAAATTCACACCTTTCAGTCACTCTGCAAATAGATTTTAGAATGTATTTGGAAGTAGATATCTAAAACTGGTAAAACTACTTCGACTATCGTGATTTCTGAAACACGGATCCTTGAGATTTCGAGACAGAAACTGCACCCATGAATGATTTTCGTAATGCCTCAGAGCATTGCAATAATTGGTGGCACCTTAGTCCTCATGTCTTATATAACCAACACTGGTTATTTTGGTAACATCACGCAAAAAAGGCTATGTTCTTTTTTTATATTTTACGACGAAGCTAAAGTGCTCTAGTTTAACTAAAATTATGGGCCGTAAAGGCGAGACAATTGCAACGTCAAGGTCGGGGGTCCGTTCAAATTCTTAAACTGCGGGAAGTGTTTACTGCTTGCAAATCCTAACAAAGTCGAAAGTCCCTTCCTCGTTAACTAACAGTGCAACGAACGCCGTTTCTTATCATTTTATTCATGCTATGGTGTGATGATCGATTATAGATAGTCATACCCAATTCCTATTCTTCACCTTTTTGACAGACTCTCCACGAAATGGATAGCTACTTGTGCTCATCTTCTCCCGTATCAACTCCTACGGAAACACCAGCAAATTACGCAAACACTCCACTACCAAAGTTCGAACAAATGTCAGGGAAGAGAGACTGCCGATTTCCAGATCCAGCGCCAAACATGTACACAGTTGTACAGTCCCAGTGTGCGCCTTCCTTCAGTCTAACACACAGATGGCCACAAGTGACAACCCCAGCCCAAACAACTGCAGTCAGTACATCGACAAGTGGAGCTGTAGACTTGGGTTTCGCGACCAGAGGGCAAACCTTTTCAGCATCCTCCTCGACCCACAAGGAACTTGAACTAAATCACGATGACGGGTTCCTTTGCGATTTCCCCGGCTGTGAAAAGCGCTACGCGAAAAGTTCGCACCTTGGTACTCACAAACGGCTTCATACAGGTGAAAAACCCTTCCTGTGTCCGTGGGAAGACTGTGGGTGGTGTTTCCGACGTTCCGACGAACTCAAGCGACACTATCGAAGACATACTGGAGAAAAGCCCTACGTATGTCCGCTTTGTGGGAGATCTTTTAGCCGCTCCGACCATCGATCGTCTCATATAAAGAAAATACATCCACTCATGTAAGGAACTGTACAATAGTTGGGAGTTTAAAAATCCCCACAAAGAGAGAAACACCCAATTTAAAATGTTAACCTACCAGTATTAAATAAGTAAGTTTTAAGTTTTAATTCGATATAATGCATGTTTAGTTGATTGATGCAAAAGTTCGCACAAAAGTATTACACGATGTAAAATAGGTCTTCTTTTTAACTACTAAATTATGTACAAATTAAAATAATTACGAGAGGAAAGCAATACACTAAACTCTTTGAGTTGATCTCAGTCGAGTGCCTCCAGACTCAAAAACTCAGAAACTCAATGACGTTTGATAAGGTACATACTTTTGTCACAAATTGTTTGTAACAGGAACAACTTTTTATTCCGTGGTTCGACTTTCGATTCAGTGATAAAAAGTTGGCTGCTTACACTGTGGACGTAATTTATTTAACACTGAGATTCAGTGCCAATGAAAACAGCAAACTAGGAGACAGTTTCTGAAATATCCTGCCACAGCTTACAGTCAAGCATTAACTTAGAGACGCAGGTGGTCGATGCTGTCGATTGTTTCTTACAAATAATGTTATTTTCGTGACGGAAACGCAAAATCAACTGTTTTTGTGGAAATGATAAAGGTAAGCTCCAGTTTTTTCAGAGAACTAAGTGCAACTATTTTTTTCTATTTGTTGTACAAAACTCCTCAATGTGTCAGATTTTTTATGAGCTACCTGGCCCAAAATGTGGCTTTTTCAGTGCTGTGTGCTAGTCAGGAAAATAACTTCACCATTGGAATAACAGACTATGTTGTAATATAGTTATAATTATATTTTTCCTGTGAGGGTAACTTACAGTCTCTGTAAGTAAAATGCTCAATAAGTCTATATATGTTGTGGTCCACGAATTAGTGGCCATTTATTTAAATTGTTATACATTAAAGAATGGAAACAAAGTTTATTGCTCTTCAATTCAAAATTCTAGTGTTAAACAACCCTTGGAATAGATAACTTTGTATACCCGGAGCTAATCATTTTTCTGTAACTTAGGTAAACGTATTTATGGGGTGCATAGGAGAAGAAGATGATGTCACAACTAGAGCAGTAAAAGCCTGCGATTAAAAACGTGATTTCTACAACAACAACAATCTTTATTTTGTACTCACTCTTGCTCAAAAATACATTACGACAATGAAAATATTAAAAGTAAAAATTAGAGTACTGGCTGCCTGGAATAACCATGGGGGCTAGCGGAGCCAGGCAGCCAGTTGAAATCATTAATAAAATTAAATTACAAGTCAGCAAGAAAACTGAAGCACATCTTTCTCGCTGACTGCTGACCTCACTAAGAACCTGTTAGGCTAAAATTTGCCAGTTAGGCCCCCTCTATACATCTAAACAAGGAACTGTTCAGCCTAAAATTTGAAACAGGTTCTTATATTCTAAAATATGCAAAAAAACATTCTGTACACTTTGCCTAAAGAGCTTCAAAAGTCATGTGGTCAGTGCTTCAGTCCTTTTTCGCATAGTCATTTTCCCAAATACTAATTTGGTTTGTAGATTTTATATGAGGAATAAGCTGAGTACCACTTAATGACTCATAGCTACTTTTTTTTTCTTCAGAAAATATGAACCTCTTTGAGAACCTAAATAGCCTAAATTTGTGCTGATTACCATTTATGTAAGGACCTGTTAAGGCTGACTTGGGAAAATGTAGGTTCTTTATCGCGGGTTTTCACTGTACTTAAGTTCGGGCCTTAGTTGGTTCGCGAACAAGACATAGGGTACACACCTGATAGTGGAAGGAATGCAGGTGGTTTATTAATTACTCTAACAAGTTATATAATCATATTTAGTGCTAATTTTGCTAAGAATCTGTGAATATAAAACGAAACCAAACAAAGCAATCCGGAGTTATAATGTCCTGAATAGCAACTTTAATCGAAAGCAATAACACTTCTGAACAATTTTTTCCGAGTAATTGTTACGGGTTATAATGTCCAAGGCAGTATCTATCGATCGAAAGAGTTCTATTTAAACAAAATAAATACATATATAATATTGGCATCTTGAATAAAGTTATAACAACTCTCAAAATGCAAACGGCACTCATATGCAAAAAATGAAATCTACTAGCCAACAATATTGCCAGAAATGAAAATGTCTGAGTTCCATAAGCATGTTAAGAATTGAATCAATAATCCTGTGTGGCATTAGTCAACTTTGTTTGCAAAGTTTGGAACACTATAAACACTATAAAAAGCTGCATTTTGTTAAAGTCAAGACAGTATTAAAACAATCAAACAGACTATTCTAATTACGGTTATTAAAGTAAACGCTAAGAAAGGTCACGACGAGGCATTGACTTCTTACAAGAGAGTATGAAAAGGCACTCCAACCGGTTTATAAATCATCAATTATACGGCGACTCATTTCATCTTTTTGCAATCAAATAACGAAAATTAAGTGTTAAAATCAAAATAATAAACTTCCCAGTGCCAGCAAGAGAATTGTCTCGATTTTCGTTGAATGTAAACCAAGGAGGAGAAATATATAGGAGCTGTTTCTGAAATCGGTCGTCAAAACGTACAATTTAAGTGGCTTTCATCATTTTGTGTAAAAATCAGTGTCTCATCATTCACTGACTATTTCACCGTTTACAGCAAGTTATCTGAAAACAAAGATAACTTTTTTCTTATTTTAGATTGCTGACATACAAGTTTTCTTAAAGTATGTAATATATTTGCTATAGCTTCTTTTGTTTTGAAAGCAATTTTCACGAGTTTTAGTTGCCTTTGTATGACTTTCCAGCGGTTTTCTTTGTTTACATTGTTAACTAGAGCCCAGCCCCTCCGATAATAAAATGGTGGCTCTTTTCGAGGTTCACAAAAGCTTGGCTTATTGTGTTTTATTATATACGTGAGGTCTGTTCTGATACATGAGGTGTTAAACTTGTTTCCCTCCACCCACTCTCTACCAATCTGAACGTCTCTAAACAGGGCTGCATTACCAAACTCGATTGACATGAATATAACAAATGCTGATAAATATATTCCGCATATTTAGAACTTCTTCCTAGTACACGCTTCTTCCATTGGCTGATTATGAGCGGGGGATGTCAATAGCTAAGGGCAATCTACCCTTTTTGAAAGTTGGGTTTTAAGTGTTCTCTACAAGTTAAATTACAAGCGAGGGATGGACTTGTATGTCCACTATAAAAAAGTCTTGAAAGCGTACCTTAAACTCGAGTTCTAAAACTTCTTGCCAGAAGGAATCCACTACTTAGTTGTCAAACAATCTTTAGAAACTTTTGGAATTTTTGCATCATATAAAAAGAATTGGACGTATCAAAAGACAGCAGAATTTTATCCGTCAAATTTGCAATCTATAGCTCATGAAAAGATCGCGAGCATAGAAAGTTTAATACCTTGGAGAAATACCGTTAAAATTTCTCTACATTAAAGACTATGATTTCAACATGGTATGTTACCTTTACATCGATCAATGATAATAAATTCTTGTGCAAAAAATTACAGAATTCCTCCTACTAAATCATTTTAACATATCGCCGAATATGTAACAATGATTTCGATAGATAAATAACGAAAAATTGTTAGATAGTATTACATAAGTCAATTATTTAGCTGTTTAGAACTCTTGTTTAAGCACTTTACATGAGCTCTTAATTTTACTTACTACTCCCCAGTTTTTAGCCACTGCCATAAAAATCTACTTTCCGTGCCAAGTGCCAGGGTCCTCTTGACTTGTATTACGTACAAAGCCACTTGCATGTTAAATCCACCATTTTGAAGCAATAACCCGCAAGTGATGTAAACAAAGGATCTTTTAAAGCAAATTTTTCGTTTCTTGGTGCTGTCTTCTTTGCATTGATTTCTGTTTAGGTATCACTGAAGACGGTAACTTAAGAACGTTTACTAGTTGCTTAAGTCTACGTGATTGCTATACTGTACATAGTGCGTGGGTTGACTTTCCCAGTACCGTGACCAAGCAAGGAGGTGGAGACACGTAATACAGTTTTAATCTCTGTAAGAACACTATTTTTTTTTTGGTATTGTAAGAATAGGTATAAGTATAATGCTTCTTTTTTTTTTTTTCTAAGAAATTCTGGAGATTATGTCAAATAGAAACCAGATAATGGTGACAAAAATTGAACTGTGGGGTATTTATGTTGCATTCGTTATATAATTCAAAGTTATTCTATGGTTCGTAAGCCTGTGTGTTTGAAGCCCACGCAGTAAAAAGCAATTTTTACGCCCGGCGTAAGATAACGGATTTCCGGTCCGTAAATTGAACTGTTCAATAAACATTTACACTGTTACGCCTTTTGCCAAACGCCCCCATCATTTGGCTCATACTTATAGTACCTCAAAAATAAATAGAATGGGGATTTTGACAATTTAACAGTCAAAGCCTAGCATCGGCTTTATGTTAACTGGTTCGGGTAATCTTGCCTTGTATGTGATGAAACTGAGGAAAAAGACGTGGTGTGTTCGATCCCGTGAGCCTGATACGCCCCTGACACGCTCCTCCGCCGACGTATTCTACGGTGTTGCCAATAATCTACTTCCGGCGACCGACTGTAAAAAGGATGTACTCGGAAATACGGTACTTCAATATTAGCACTCACGTAAATGGAGTATAATATATTTAAATCTGTCTGGAAATGGAAAGACAACAGTCACGTAGCTTTCTTAAGTTGATAAGCTGCTGACGATCTAAATCCTATCGTGAAAGCCCCAAAAACAGGTGATCGTCATGCACACTACTGTCTAGACTTTGCGTTGGGGTAGGGGGGGGGGGGGGGGTTGGGGGACTTCAATGCGTTTCGAACTTTGTTTCTGTGGATGACATGTTAGATTAGGACCCTAATGAATAGTGAAATCCTTAAGTGTGACGATACAGTATGTTCATCTAATTATCCTACTCTTGAAGCAGTAAACCTGTTAAGGATTTGAAGAATTGCAGTATACAGGGCATTCCACTGGTAAATTGTTTAGACCCTTTTTAACCATGACAATTCTTCACTTAGAAAATCACTACATATAAATTGCCTACTAATCTGTCCTTGAAATAGGATATATACCTTAAGAAGTCAAGTCCCTCGCGATTAACTATGTATTTTTGGAAACCGGACATTTGTAAGACAGTATTATGGCTGTTTCTTAAAACAAAACATCGTGTGCAAAGCAATCAAAGGCTGCTTTGTGGTACAAACTAAAGCAGCTTAGTGTCGCGCTCCATTCAGTAGACTAATCCGTCAATTAAGCCGCAAATTTTGCTCTCAAAAATAATGTGAGATATTTTTGCTGCCCCCCATGTTCATGCCGTTTATACCTGCTTGTGTTCTACTCCGGAAAAAGGCTGATACAAGCAGTTAGAAAGGCAATGCAATTGAATTGCATGCCGGCATTTTTTATTTCTAAACTTTAGGTAATACAGTTAAATTTCAAGGCTACGCAAAACTTGCCATAAATGTTTCAGTTTAAGACGAATTGTTCAATCATTTTTAAACAAACTAACAATAAAGTTGAAAAAGAAAGAAAGAACTTGTACATCAAATTACACAGAACATCGACTGACACCCTGCGTGATGGAAAATTCTCACAGCAAACATGATGTGGATGAATATCTGTCCTTTTTCGTACAAATAAAGTGCTGTTTTCACCTATGCAGGTCTCGAACGTCACCAGGCATGTGGTATTGAGACAGACTTTCCACGCTTTCCGGCAATCAGTTCGCAAGTGTGGCCAAGACAAAAAGCCAAAGTAGACCTAAGTAGCTTATAATTCTGTCCATGATGAATAGCTACTTTTAAAACGTCAGTGGGACAGATAAGCTTAGTGGTTTCTAATTCCAAGGCCTTGCGTCTTTGTAAGGCCAAGTTTTTGAAAAGAAATATCTGGACGTTGATTCGTGCTGCCTTACCGTTGTTTTACCGGAGTTGCACGGTTTGGATCTCAGCGACGACGCGAAAGATTATTCTAGTTCAAATCACTTTTTCCAGCCAAAAGGCAATTGCCCCTATTTGATCCTATGGAAAAGCCAACCATATTTCAATGGCACACTTCCAACTCTTGAGTTAACTGATGCCTGCAGTGGGTGAAGTACACCTCTTGGTCAATTACGAAATTTTGAACTTTAAATGACAACTCTATGGTGTGACATTTTAAAACCTTTCTGTCAGTACTTTGGATGGCATTATTTTGTTTGAAATACATTGCAAAGCGGTATTAGGTTTTTTTTTTTAATGAATTTGCATTGTTAAACTCTTGAACGAAAGCAGCAAGTTTGAGTGATTTATTGGCTTAGAAGTTCCCAGTTTAAAGACCTTTAAAGAAAAAGTCTATCAAGATAAAGTCGTATATCTCGACAGAATATTAGCAGCAGGTACATGATCATTTTACATTTTTGAATAACGAGACACTTGAATAGGGCTTGTGGACAAAGTAGAGAAAGAAATAAAGAGCGTTAAAATTGCCAAATAATTGAGTATTTCATCCACGGACCCAGTAGACTTTTCGGCACTATTCACCTGGTCTCAACCCTGTTGTATTCAGTTGTATGTGCCAGGATTAACAGCTAAGAAACTACCTGACAAAGTCCGAGTCCCACGCCTTTCAGGAAATGATATATAACATGCAGTAGCATCTAGAAAGAGAATTGCCACAATGGCACAAAATTTCGCCGATGAAATTGAACAACAAAATAAATTAATAATCAATTAGATTACTCTTCAAAAGATAAAAATACAAGATTGCCGTTGATGGGTGGGAAGTGGTGGGAACCATCTTATACAAGGGTGTCAAGGAGATATTAAAATCAGAATATCTACTAGTTGAAGTTACAACAACTGAGGCAGTTACCCAGAAGAATGAACTCACTATTGACTACAAATCTTACTGCAGGGCTTATTAAAAAAATAATCGGTAGTAGTGCCTAAGAGGGTACTTTGCAATAGTTATTTGAAATGGTCCCACTCCATCTAGTTAGAGCGTGTTTTACAAACTTGCATAAAGCTCAACATTACGAAGCATCTAATTTATACACTGATTATAATGGTGACAATAGCAATAGAACAAAATGTTACTAAGTAACTTTCATTTTCATGAATGTACAATTTATACATTTCGTTGTGAAGACCGAGGACTCAGAGCTAGATTTCATATGAATTTGCAATGGAGTAGACACAAAAAGACATTATCTCTCGGCGACCAACTAATTGCATTCCTGATTATAATGGCGGTAGTCTACCAAAAAGCAATAGAAGAAAGTGTAACTTTCATTTCCATGAATGTACAAGTTATACATTTGTGAAGACCGAAGACTCAGGGCTAGATTTAATGTGAATTTGACATAAAAAGACATTATATCTCGACGACCAGCTTTGTGTTAAAGAGTTGTACTGTTGCTGTTGTGTATTTTTTTGTCTTTGTTGTGGTTGATTTTCTCCTGGTTAATAACCGGTTTCTTTCGTTTCAACTTCATTATCATACTTACCATGCACAAAAGCGCAAAGGAATTCAAACTCGATTAAACCAAGAATAAATTCAAACCAAAACATGCAGTTGAATTGTGGTATTCCATCCAATAACGCAAAAGAACCACAAATTAAAATCTAACGCATACATGTAGTAAATAGCATATCAGTTAAGTACTGAATGCTCTGTAGCTTTCATTTCAATGGCCACAATTAAGGATCTCCTCTACAGGACTCAAAAGTTAGGACCACCTTGCACAGGATAATTAACAGATCCAAAGGAAATTAAGTACTGATCAGTAACTTTCATTTCAATGGTTACACTAAAAGAT